TATTTATTCAGCTTTCAGATGATGTATAAATCTCAATTTCAAAAAATTGACCCTTATGACTGGTCCAGGGTCACATATTAATTTTATATTCATTAAATTATTTCAATCATTTTCATTTCAAATATTTATACACACACACACATATATTTATAGGTCAGTTTTAATGTCACGTTTAATGTGTCTTTGCTGATTAAAGATATTTCTAGACGCATTTGTTTAATATTATGTTTAAACGTGTAATGTTTATATATTTCTAATGCTGTAAGCTGCAATGTTCTCTCTGGTTCTCAGTGCTGCTGGAACTGCGGTCGGAAGGCGAGCGAGACGTGCAGCGGCTGTAATGCGGCGCGTTACTGCGGCTCCTTCTGTCAGCATAAGGACTGGGAGCGACACCATCTCATCTGCAGCCCGGGGCTCCAGGCGCAGCCCAAATCCATGCCACGCGTCCTGGCCAAAGCTCCGGAGAGCGGCCCGGTCCCGAGTCCAGGCCTGGAGAAAACCTCCAGAGCATCCACACCAGCGTCCTCCTCCACGCCAGACACCAGCGGACACTGAGAGCCAAGGACTCAATGAAAGAGGAGTTTAACTGCTGGATGTGACAGAAGCTGGACAGTCACACACACTTTTCCAGTTCATGGACAGGAGGACCGCTCTGCGTGACTCAGCTTGCTTTTTTGGTGCAAATGTGATCTGTTTTACCCGCACAAACTGTTGTCAGTGTTTCGTGAGCGTTTGTTTGTTTGTGTGTGTGTGATTGTGTCTGTAAATACAATATCAGAGCAATATAAAAGTGATGGATTCACCAAAGCTGTCAATGCTGTGACCTGTTCATTATTATCTGACAGTGTTATCAGAGTTGCCATAGAGAATGTGTGTGTGTGTTAACCGTGGAAAACAAACCCTGGTCTGAAGGGACCAGTTTTGATCAGGGTCCAGATGTACGATCATCAGCTTCTGGTACAGATTAATCCACCAAACCAGGTCTTGAGCTGGTCTGTTTGTATCCACATGCAAAGCTCTGCGATCTCAGGAGGATGTTATATGTATATACTTTTATTTTTGTTCCACTTGTAGAGTCGAGCCGGTTCCTTTTCTTTGATTTCCACGTTGACGTCTTCAGCTACCTTCGTTTCGTTCAGTACACCACATGCTGATTTATTTTTTTTTATTATAAGAATGTGTAAAATATAACGGTGCAAGAGAATGTTTATTTTGTGAGCTACTCTGTGACATTCATTTCTTTCAGAATCCTTGAATATTGGTATGAAGTAGATATTAAAAAAATAAAGAAATTAACGTGACCTCAGGCTTTGATCGTTGTCTTTGTTTTACCAATGGATTTGATCATGTCATGGAGGTTTTACTGTATTTTGTAGAGTAATAACATTAAAAAAAAAAGTTAAAAAAGACAGTTGGAAAAAAAGAAACACATGTTTACTATTTGGCTAATTTGATAATCCATCTGTTTAATTATAATTGTAAGGTGTATTGTTGTTGCACTGACTGTAGGTATATTAATATAGAATTTTTTCTATATTAGAAAAAAAATTATTACAAAAATAAAAAATCTGTTTTGAGAAAATAAAAAAAAAATTAAAATTTACATTATTTAATTGTTAAATTATTTGTAAAAATTACATACTATATATATTATATACACATGTATTATTATTATTGAAATAATTTATTACTACATAAATTAATCACTAGGTCCACAAATCCTGTGTTAACAAATATACAGTGTAACATCAAACATAAAATAACTTTTCAACATTAAACCTCAAAACTGAGGGGAATAAATCACAAATATTTATTTTTAGATGAGAAGACTATTATTAAGAGCAAAACCATTCAAGAAATGTGTTGAGATGATTTAGTGACATCTAAAGAGATGCAAATGACACACAGGGACATGTTAACCCATGGTTATAATAATAATAATAATACCACCTTAAATTAACATTTCCGTAACTTTGATGTACTACATGAATAAACTATATAAGTCATTTGCACTGTATGAAAGATTCTGAAAACGTCTTACACACAATTTCAGGAAGATCCCTATATTAACATAGTGTGGTTTTACAGTAGGTATTCTGAACTAATGTTTACCATAGTAACTGCACAAGCGCTTTTTCACTTTCCACCACTAGATGGCAGAAACACACTGATTTGATCAGCTTCAGTCTATGGATTGAGTCAACCTACATGTTTTACACAACATGAGCAACCCACTGCAGATTTATGGCCAATTGTAGCTGAATTTGTGGATTAAAAACCATGTAGGCTAAATATAAAAGGATCTGTCTGGAGCAAAAGGCCCCTGAGGGTTTATAATGACATAATGCAGATAAAGAAGCAATAAATGATAGGGATATTTCATTAATTCATCTAAATTGTGATTGGAGCATGTGTCACTTTTCACATTCACTCATGGAAAACAACTCTTTTTCTGCACCATCAAGTGTTTTTGACCACAGCTGGTCTTTAATCTTTGTTTTTGGGACCCATACCATTCACTCAACAGTTATTGGGAAAAAAACTATTAATTTTTCATCTTGAACAAAACTAAAAATCCTAAATTTTTTGACTCAAAATGTTTTCTAATTTCATGGATTTTCAACATGCATTTTTTTTCCCAAAAAGTTTAAATCATATACCATGGTTTTACCATCACTTTGCATTTTGAGTTCTTGAAATGCAGCCCACATTGAGATTTTGTTTTGTAGTTTGAGAATAATGATTTTTGAGTGAACAGACGAGCAGATTCCCTTATATTTTGATGCTTTGGAGATTTAAACATTAACGTTAATGAAGAAAGAAGGTCCTCACGCCTTTTAAAGGCCTGTTTGAGGGTCAAGACTTGGTTTTTGGGGTCAGGTTATAATTGGGATAATTGGGT